AAAAAAATTCTCAAAATTTCAAAGTAAACGCGTTTTCCATTTTTATGTTTTTAGAAAAAGTTTTTCAGAATGGTAAAAAGAACGCATTTTCAGAAATTTCAAAATAGACACTCAAAACACAAAACACAAAATGAATTCAAAACTCAAAACACAAAATTGAAACACAAAGAGAACGACCCCTAACTGATTTTGTTTTCCATTCCTAAAAATCAGGGAATACACCAACTAGTGAAATGCTGTTATTCAGTTGAATTGTTGTTTGTCACGTTGGTAGAAGCATTTTAACAGTTTTGAGGAGATGGAATTGGATTTTGCTGAAGTGATGGGAGGGTGGGGAGAGAGAAGAGAGTCTAGCAGTGGAAATGAAGAAGTTAGTGGATTTATCGATGGTCGTTGCTGCGGCGAAGGCAGTGGCGGCCATGTAGTGAGAGGAAGAGGTGGGAAATTTTGGATCCAACTCGAAGGAACCACGAATGGCCTAAATAACGAATGTTAACGAGTTTAGGATTTTGCCTTGGGTAATGCTATTCTTAGTGAAGATCATCGATAGTCTTCTTACGTTATATATATATATGATGGTTTATGATTTGATGCACAAGTTAATAAAAAATTATCAAATTAATGCACTAAATCATAAATCGTCACATATATGCCATATAGTAATGCTAATCTTAGTGAAGATCATTGATAGTCTTCTTACGTTGTGTATATATATATATGACAGTTTATGATCTGATGAACAAGTTAATAAAAAATTATCAAATTAATCACCAAATCATAAATCGTAACAGATATGCCATATATGAAGACTATCTATTCGAGAGTAACATTATTTTCAAAGAAGTGTGTGAGAGAACTAGGGTCACCCCAACTACAACTATACAACTAGGGGTGTTTAAGAGAAAATTACACTTGGGAGGTCTTTACCTTTAGAAATTACAACCCTTGTTTGGCAAGTGTTTGTAAACGATCAATTCACTTTTTTATTTACATATTTTGTAAAATTCAAAAGTACTATTCACCTACTCATCAAACATTTTTATCTATTTATAATTTAAGCCGATTATAAACAACTCTTAAATATGCTTAGTCATATACAATATCGTCGAGTAAAAATAATCAATTTTCTATCAAAGTTTCACATCATCTCTTTTGAACTACTTCTGTAATTCATTAAACCATCGTCGTTAGCCATCTCTAGTGACAAATGTGAATTGTGTTGTTGTTGCCAACGACTCTAACTTTTCTAACAAGATCTCATAAAAACATGACTGCTAAAAGGTTTCTAAATATTTCAGGTCGAGAGTGGCATCTAGGAATGATTTTCCTTTCCTTTTGTTGTCTTTTTATTTATTTTTATTTTTTTAATAGAGATGTGGAGATGAGTTGATGAAAATATCTTGCAGAAGAGATCGCATGCAAGGTATATGCTATTTTGAAGAAAAAACTAATTAGTTTCCATTTAGTGGAGACATGCATGCCTAATTTAGTAAAGATTGGCAACTTAAAGGCCTCAAAAAATTGAATGGAGACCCTAGTAATATATTTTGTAAAGATTGAGGACCTCAATAGTAATTTTCCAATTAGTGAATGCCACCTGAAATATGATTGGTCTGTTATGATTTTTAACAAATTCAAGGCAGTGAAATATCAAGAGACACAAGCCAACTTTTTGATGTGTGCTTTATATATTTCCTTTTCCAAATTCTTTTTTATTTGTTGTAGAAAATAAGGGGATAACTGTCTTTTTGTAGACCGGACAAAAACTCAAGGACTAACTGTCTACAAGGAATATAAGTAGGGGACTAATTCTGCAACTTTCCTTAACAAAGCAAAAGGAAAGGAATCCCAAACGAAATCCACAAAATAAAAAATTAGGGCTACTGAAAGATCTTGTGAGGTTTTAGCAGAACAAATTGAAGGCTGAGATTTTCCCTATATTTTCAGTCAACTCTCAACTATGGCGCCTCCTCCTGGACCCTACTCCGGCACCAGCACCCTTGCTTTGGTACCTCCATTTTACTGTTTTCTCCCGATTTATGTTTTTCATGTATTTTACATAGATCCTGTGTATATTTAACAAAAAAAAAAAAACAAAATTCAATGTATTGCAGGTGGCTCGGGTGTCTGCCTTTTCGTTTGGCCTCGTCTACGGAAATATGAAGCTTAAGATTCTTAAGGTAATTTCTTTCTCGTTCTTATTTGATTGATTTTTGTTTACTGGGAAATGGAAATGAAAGTGTTGTTCATGATTTGAGATTTTGATTCTTCAATTCTAGATCTTTGAATGGTGTTTTTGAGATTTAATTAGGGTGGAAGGTGTTGTTGATTTGTAGATCTGGCCTCCATGGGTTGAATTATTCTGTTTTGAAATGATTGTAGAATTACAAATTGTGAAAACTTGTTCTATTTTTGGTTGGATTAAATAAGAGTAGATAAAAATTAGCACGCAATTCGCAAAGGTTATCTAGGCTCTTGGTAGGTCGTCCTGGACAAGACTCGACACTGTGAACAAGAATTTAACCTTTTTATTTTTTTTGTAATACTGTTCGATCCTATCCAGTATCAATACTGAAGATGTGTAACGACCACTTTCATACATACCACAACGGGTAGAATTCACCCCTTAAAGCCTACTTAAGGGGAGGGATGTGAGTCACAATTAGATCATTGCAACGTGCAACAAAGGTTGATTCATAGAAGTTATGCAAATTCAAATAACGAAGCAAAAATATGCTCTAATACTCGGAAGTAAAACCTTATCTAAATAAATTGGTTAACCTTAATTGTCAATTCTAACCTTTTCTGTGTGTAGGTTGTGCTTTTGTTGAAACATTGTTAATAAGACTAATAAATATAAGTATAGAAGGAAGTTCAATTTCTCTACACTTGAGGGTGTAGAGAAACCTCATCCTCAATACTAAAACATGAGCTTGTTCCAATTAGCACTAAGGCAACGACCTCCTTCTGGTGTCGTGACATTACTTTTATGAATCAATTCCTACATATTTGATGTCATTAATATGTTAGTCTATATTTGAGCCCTACACTTTTTAATACGTTATGACTATACTTGAAGCATTTTCGTATAAGCAAAGATATTTGATTAAAAGCTAAACGACAATTTTCATGTCGACATTGGAATTCGTATTCAGTTGCGCTAAGGTTTGTGATTTTTCTACTCAGACTAGTGACATTGTGCTTCTCATTTGTTTCTTTTCTCCGGAAGGAAAAAAATATTTCTCATGCCTGGATCTCGATTTTTGATAGTCGTCTTCTTACCACATTCTGATATCATTACCTGATATGAGGCAGAAGACTGAAACTTTTATGTTCTAGCATCTGTTGATTGAGATGTTGGTTTGATTTTCATTTCCCAATGGTATCAAGGCAAGTAGATAGTTTTACTTTTATGTGGCTTGTATTTCGTGATTCAAGACAAATATTTGAAGATAGTTTCATTTCCCTTAACGACTCTGTCGCGTGCTGATATTAGTAAGTAATAGTGGAGAGAATACTTATTTGTTACCTTTTTTTTGGTCATTTTTTCAGGCTAAGGCCAAGTCTCATAAGAAAGCTGAAGCCAAAGCTCATCACTGAGGAAGAGCATTATGGTGTTTTATGGTCCGATAATAGAAATAATACATGAAAAAAGGGGGCAGTTCACTATGGCCTGATGCAAAGGACCATATTTTTCTCTTTTTGTAACTGTTCAATTTTGTTGAGAATTGTGACATCAATCAGCCTTTTTGTCCTCCTGTCTTTGACAATTTCCGCATTATATTGACCATGTCGATGAAAGAATATTTGTCCATCAGTAATGAAATCGAACAGCATTCAGTTACAAATATTTGTGGCCTAAAGGGTTTTCTGCTTTGCAAGCAAAATGAAAAGATTTCTTCTTGCGTCCAGTCTGGATGGATCAAATTAGATGAGAACTCCGTTAAATCTCCATTGCTCAAACAGGATGGAAGGAGATGCTTTAAAGGAGCAAATAACGATGAGCTTCAACCCTGCAAAATGGGAGGCAAAGGCATGCTATCCAAGCATTAAACCACCGTAGGCAATAAAAACCTTACAGAAAGTAGCATGCAGAAAGTACTATTTCTTGTTTGGCAGCATTAACCTATTCACACCATTGATAATATTTAGAGAGCAGTCGAGCTTCTTTTGGCAGTGTTAACTTGTTTACATCATCGATACTATTTAGAAAGCTGTCAAGTTAGAGAGGCATCACAGGATCCTTCTCCCAAAGCTCCAAATACTAGTAATCCTCATTATGCTCCCGAGTGAACCCAAATGGGGGAGGGGTGGATGAGAAAAACAGTGAGGTGAGGTGGGGTAGAACAAGTGTGGAAGGAATAAGGGTATAGTGGGATTTTGACCATAAAAGGTATGTTTACCTAATTTTAAAAGGTTAATTATGTTCACATCAAAGTTTATTAGAATACATTAAATTTTTAATTGTATTAAAGGTTCCTCACCTCTACTTAGTGTCACACTTACGTCCTCAACTTACTTTTTATCGTGCACTTGTACATTTCATTAATTTGCACATCTTGTCCCTAATGGCGATTTTCGTCCAAATATCCTGTTAAAATGGTATAGGGACCTTCAATACAATTAAAATGCGACGCACATACAAAAAAGGTGTGATATCAGAATAGCCCCCCATTTTCAAAGATTTCAATGGTTCTCTCCCTTCCCAGACAATAATCCTTCTTAATGCCAAGAACATAAGAGTTTGCATTCATGCATACAGTCCTCCACAAAATATTGAAGTATTCCCAGATCTGATTGGTGACTTTATATCAACAAAGTTACTAGGGCATGACAATAACTGTGATGGAACCACTTACTATCATGAAATAAGGCTCTAGCCACAGTAAATTATAGTTTAACTTTGATGTGTAAATAACTGACCCGTGAAGAAGCAAACCCATGCCTCAAACTCGTACCAGTTCAGAGAATCTGCACAAAATTACTTTACATATATGATGCCTTCATCATCAGGGTCATCACCCTCCCACTCATCATTGATTAGACCGGATGAATCCTGCAGATCCTCAGCTTGACCTTCTGTAGCTTTCTTGTCATTTTCATCCTTTAAATTATCTAATATAGCAATTACCTGAAAAGGTATGTTATTCTACAGTTAAGACGAGAAAACAGGGCATGCATATAGTTAAGGAATAAAAACCCTCCATTGATTCTGTTTTGGTTTTGGATGCCAGGCAATAAGCTATTTAAACAAAGAATACACCACATGTTAGATTTCTCAAAGTACAGTGACAAGTAAATCCCCAGTGCACTACTCTTTCCACGGTTGCAAAAGTTCACAAACAACATTGATTAGTAAGCATAGAGTGATCTCAATCAGCTTGCAAAACTGTAGGTTCTTGGAGACAAGGATGGCAAGTGAGAACTTGCATTTAGGAAGGCAAAGTTGAGATTAAGTCTCAGTATTTTTCAGAATCCAAATTCAGGACAATCACGAAGAACCTGGACTGTGTGTGCATGTGCTCGTGCAGCTGCACGTGAGAGCGTGCATAAATGTAAACTGCGTAACTTAGATATCACCAAAATAACAGCATAAAACGTCTTAATAATATCAGCAGGAACACCAGAATAAAACACAATATATTGCGGACGAACAATTTCTTTAAGAAATGGAGGAAACTAAGAATTTTATGGATAAATACATAATATGAATCTGCCAAAGTCCCAAAAAGTTCAAAATCAATACAAGGAAAAGAGAGGATCACGGAGCAACAGCTGATAAACAATGAAGGTTAGCAGTCTCTAGTTTCTTGGAAAATATAGAAATCACAGTGGACACATGAAGCATAGGTTAGGACTTTAGACGTCGACAAGACAGTATATAAATCTGAGAAAACATGAAAAGCCAAAAATAAAATACGGGAAAGATATGAGGACGAAACAACTTTATAGGTTTCTAGAAACAGATAAATGTTAAAAGTACACAACAAACATGCTATTAGTTGTTTAATCATAGTTACTGGTGAATCTATAGATATCCATAAAAATCTATTCATGTACACACATCCGTCTACAAAATCTATTATCTAGAATGTAATAAAAATAAAATCTGACTTGATATGAAATTTTCTTTGTTCTGTACTCTAAGAACATTATTCAAATTTTGTGCATCACCTAGTACCAGCTTCAGAGAGATTTCAGAATCATGCCAGAGAAGTGTTAAAATTATTTTCAGAATTTCAGAACACATTTGATAAGAAGGCAAAATGCCTTTTCTGCTAGTGATATCTATGCACATCAATATGCTTTCATTTTATAAATAGATGAATGAAGAACCTTTATCATATAATATGGGGTCAGCGCAATTGGTCACTCTCACAACAAAAAATATAAGTTAGATGGTTAAATCAAAGACAAAGGAAGATAATTCAAAATGTGCAACCGGTGAGAAGAGAACTTGAATTTTAAGAAAGAACCTGAAAGGGAACTGCAAGATAAAGCTGCTTTAAGTAACACGGTGACACCAAATGATGTAAAACATACTCTTAGAAACTCATATGATAAAACATACGAAACTGGGAAAGTAAAATTAAGATGAATTCTGACCCTGCTTCCTCGTTCTAGAGACTCATCTTCTATGAAACGGATCTCAGGAGTCAGTCGCAACTTCATACGTTGCCCCAGCTTACTTCGAACATATTTTGCTTTTGACTTCAAACCAGCCAGTGCTACTTCTTTTCCTCTTTCATCGCCAAAAACAGACACATATACTTTCACAACCTACAAAGGGAAATGCGCAATAGATGAATGAGTTTTTCCATAAAAAGTACAACATAAAGATGAACCATATATTTCTCAGTTCTCGTCATTTCTATTTTATGCAACTTCCTTTGAATTTCATACATATGCAAGACATAAAGAACCTTCCTATGGGAGATATTACAGTGCCAATCCCTTAATATCTAGGGGAAATGGTGAACAGGCAAGTCATACTCCAAATGTTTCAGGCATATCGGGACAAATCAAATTCTCCATCTTCCCTCTTTTCATTCACACTGAAATATCCAACATTTGTGACAAAGCATCCACAACTGAAAATGAAGTTTAGCATGCAAAAGTTATGGCACAGTACTTCAGTTCCCAGTTAATCACCTCACAAAGTAGTATAAATATATCATGGACCAACAACCTTAGGATATGTGAGGCAGTGAGGGGGTTTTAGACCTCTTACCTAATGCACTTGCTATTACAAGTATTTAAACTGATGTAACAGTAACGGCTACTAAGCAACTTCAAGTTAGTTAGCATTAGTTTGGACAGCTGAAATTTGCTAGTGTACAGCTGGAGTTAGTTAGAGTTAGTTAACTGTATATATTTATAGAGCTGAATGTATCTCCATTTCTGAAGTGAATAATATTCAATCATGTTGTTCATTTGCTCAATATGGTATCAAAGCAGTATTGTGCTTCCTTGCCTTCGGGCTCATCCAGTTCCCATTGAAGACATTCATCGAAGCTCCTGATTCATCATGGCAGATGCTTCAAATCAGAATCAATCGACCAACTCTTCTTCTTCATCAAATGAGTTATTCCGCCATTGATGATGTATTTAGCCCATACCTCATCATTCAGATAATCACGGTCTCATGCTTGTTTCGCAGCAGCTAAAGGTGATAATTACACTTCTTGGAATCGTGCTATGATCATTGCTTTGTCTGTGAAGAACAAGTTGGGTTTTATAGATGGATCCATAACTCGACCTAAAGATATTGACGATCTCCTGAACTCTTGGATCCGCAACAACAATATTGTGATTTCCTAGATTCTCAATTCAGTTTCAAAGGAAATATCAACAAGTATAATATTATTCTGAATCAGCATATGATTTCCGGGTTGATCTGAAAAACGTTTCCAACAAAGAAATGGACCTCGAATCTTTCAATTGAGACGTGAATTAATGAATCACATACAAGGACAGTTATCTGTTAGTGTTTATTTCACTAAACTAAAGACTATTTGGAAAGAACTTAGCAACTATAGACCTGTGTGTACTTGTAGTAAATGCAGTTGTGGAGGTATTAAGAAGTTGACTGACCATTATCACATGGAATATGTGATGTCATTCTTAATGGGATTAAATGATTCTTTTGCCCAAATCAGAGGTCAATTGCTGCTTATGGATCCTATTCCCCCGATCAATAAAGTGTTTGCACTTATTTCTCAAGAGGAACATCAAAGGATTGTGAATATGACCACTGCAACATCTGATGTTGTTGATTCCATGGCATTTTATGCCAAGAATGATGTTAAGAAGTCAAATGTAGGACAATCTTACACTAAAATTCAGAAAAGAGAGAGACCTATCTGCACTTATTGTGGATATGCGGGTCGTGGTGTTGATAAATGTTACAAACTGCATGGTTACCCGCCAAGATATAAGGCAAAGCAGAAATTTGATCCAAGCAATCAATCAGGTTATACTAATCAAACAAATCATGCTATTGCTAACCAAACTACTACTATTTCAGACCAAACACATGGCAATGTTGGTGACTTTATGCAAAAGTTGAATCCTAATCAATACCAACAATTGATGAGTATGTTAAGCACACCTCTCTGCAACAAAGGTTGATGCTGAAGCCAATACCAATTCAAGTCATGTGTATATGTCTCTCCACCTCTCTCAATCTAATATTCAACTCCCCTAGATATTATGTGGTGGACTCAGGGGCAACTAGCCATATTTGTTTCAGTCGTTCAGCTTTTCACACATGGAAGGTAGTTCAAAACACATATGTTACATTGCCAAATCACACAAAAATTCCTTTACATTTCACTGCAACTGTAATACTAACATCTGAATTGGTACTCGAAGATGTCCTGTCTTGGAATCTTTGATTCCACCCAAGTTCTGGGTCGAAGCTCTTTCCACAGCTGTATATCTGATTAATCGACTTCCTGCTGCTCACCTTATTTTAAGCGATGAGTTCTAAAGGCAAGCTCTGATACCATGTAAATATTTTAACTGAATGAACTTCCCGTTCGAGATACCTTGTATTATATAGATGAATATGCCGTATGTACATGGTAATATGATACAATTTAGGTAAACTGTAATTACTACCTCAATTACAATATATACACACATAAATATGGTAATAAACCATAATCTTTATGAATATTAAAATCTTCGTGATCTCAATCTTATTGATATCCTGTCTATGCCTCAATTCAAGTTCAACCTGCTATCTATTAGCTCATTAACCAGGGGTTCATATATAAGTGTTAGATTTCTCACAAAGTACTGTGTTGTTGAGGACCTGCACAACTTGAAGGTGATTGGCAAGGGTGAAAGATTTGTTGATTAGCTCATTAACCAGGGGTTCATATATAGGTGTTAGATTTCTCACAAAGTACTGTTTTGTTGAGTACCTGCACAACTTGAAGGTGATTGGTAAGGGCGAAAGATTTGTTGATCTTTATATCATTGTGCAGCTTCAATAGATTCAATACTTCATAATAATTGTAATTCTTCTAAGACTTCTTGTATCTCTTTCAGTTCTGTAGTAAATAATGTGAATACCCACATTTGGCATCATAGAATTGGTCATTTGTCTTTTAAGAGATTGGAGATGTTGAAAGATCAGTTGCAGTTTAAAAGTGTTAGCCATAGAGACAATGTTCCATGCTCAATTTGTCCTCTAGTTAAAAAAAGAAAACTCTCGTTTGCTTCAAATAATCACTTGTCTCCTAATGCTTTTGAACTGATCCATTGTAATGTACGGGGACCATACAATGTCTCAACACAAGCTGGCCACAAATATTTCCTCACATTAGTGGACGATGTTCACATGGATTTATCTTATGAAATAAAAGTCTGATGTTCATTCTATCATTTCCAAGTTTTTCAGTCTAATTGAAACTCCATTTTACAAAGTAATCAAGATGTTCAGGTCTGACAATGCTCAACTCAAAGGGTGTCATCCATCTCTTGTGTAGAAAGGCCTGAACAAAACTTAGTTGTCGAAAGAAAACACTAACACCTACTTAACGTAGCTAAAGCTCTATTTTTTCAATCTCAAGTTCTCATTCAATTCTGGGGTGAATGTGTGCTCACGGCCACATTCCTCATCAATAGAACACCCTCACTATTTCTACAAAACAAGACTCCATCCTCTCTACTATATGAACCCCAGTAGATTATAGCCAACTCAGAGTGTTTGGATGCTTATGTTTTGCATCCACTCTTCAGTCTCATCGCACAAAATTCCATCCTAAAGCTAAGACTTGTGTCTTTGTTGGTTATCCACCTAGTATCAAATGATACAAATTGTATGATATCACTTCCAAATCCTTTTCTCTAGAGATGTCATATTTCATGAGCATATTTTTCCCTTCCAATCTATCCTCTACATACATCTGATTTGCTTGATCCATTCTCTAACTTAGTTATACCTAAGCCTGCAGCTGATTTCCATAGTCAGCATTCCATTCCTAAATTAACTAATGACCTTACTGATACTGCTATCATCAGTCCTACTCACTTGCCCACAGACTGTCCTCCAAGTTCTGATCATAACCCATCATCATCTCCCATTCCTAGAAGATCTACTAAGACTTGCAAACCACCCTCCCGTCTCAAGATTTTCAGTGCAACCTCTTGACAAATACACAGCCCCCTACTTCCTCATTAGCCTATCCCTTATATAAATATCTCATTTATGAAAAAATTTCTCCTTCTCATAACACTTATATGTTCAATGTTTCCTCAAACTTGGAACCTCAGTTCTATCATGATGCTGTGAAGTTTAATCATTGGAATGATGCTACGGCTTCTGAATTGGTTGCAATGGAATTGAATAACACTTGGACTGTTACCACTCTACCTAAAGGCAAACATACCATAGGTTGCAAGTGGATATACAAAATTAAGTACAATTCTGAAAGCAATATTGATAGATACAAAGCACGTTTGGTGGTTAAAGGTTACACGAAAGATTTCATTGAGATTTTTTCCCCAGTTGCTAAATTAGTTATTGTGAACATTCTCCTAAACATTGCAGCTATCAACAAATGAGACAGCATCCAACTAGATGTCAATAATGCATTTCTACATGGAGATCTTTTTGAGGAAATGCATGTGGACCTTCCTTTAGGTTATGATCCTCACGTTCCTGCAGGCAATCAAAGGGAGCAGTTGGTTTGAAAACTACACAAATCAATTTTTGGACTCAAACAGGCCTTTAGGTAATGGCTTTCAAAGCTCTCCCAGGCTCTTTTACTTCATGCCCTTCACCAATCCAAGTCTGACTATTCTCTGTTCACTAAAGCTTCTGGTAATGACTATGTTGCCTCATTAGTGTATGTTAATGACATTGTCATCACTGGTTAGAATCAGAAGACAATGATTCTTTAAAAAAAAGTTCCTACATGGACAGTTCAAGCTCAAAGATCTTGGTAAACTAAAGTCCTTTCTTGATTTGGAGATTGCTAGATCAACCAAGGGAATTGTCTTATCCCAACGCCATTACACTCTCCAATTACTTGAAGACACTAGTTTTCTGGCACGCAAACCTGCCATCTTGCCTATGGATCCTAAAGTGCAATTGTGTTCATTTGAGGGGGAGGTACTAGATGATGCTTCTTTGTATAAACGGCTAGTTGGACGTCTACTTTACTTAACAATTTCAAGGCCTGATATCACATTTGCTGTCCACAAACTCAGTCAATTTGTTTCTCAGCCTCGGAAGCCTCACTTAAATGTTGTCCATCATCTGTTACAATATCTCAAAGCCACTCCAGTACAAGGTCTTATATTTTCTACAGAATCATCCCTACAGCTCTGAGCTTTTGCAGATGTAGACTGGGGTTCATGCCTAGATTCAAGAAAGTTTGTCACAGGTTTTTGTGTTTTTCTTGGGGATTCCTTAGTGTCTTGGAAAGCTAAGAAGCAGAGCACCGTGTCCAAATCATCAGCTGAAGCAGAATATCGTGCATTGGCAGGCATCCACAACCAGTGAAATTGTTTGGATTCATCAATTGCTTCAAGATTTTCATATCTCTTGAACTACACTAGCACTCACCTTTTGTGATAACTAAGTTATAATTCACATTGCCAACAATCCTATATTCCACGAGCGCACCAAACATATAGAGATAGATTGTCATTTCATCCGGGACAAGATCAATGATGGATTCATCAAACTACTACCTGTTGAACACCAACTTGCAGACATCTTCACGAAGCCTCTACCTGCCTCACTTCTATTCCCTTTATTATCCAAGATGGCTATCATTAATCTCCATAGTCCATAGACCATTGTGAGGGGGAGTATTAAAACTCATGTAACAGTTAGTAACGGCTACTAAGCAACTTCAAGTTAGTTACCATTAGTTTGGACAGCTGGAATTAGCTAGTGTACAGCTCGAGTTAGTTAGAGTTAGTTAACTGTGTATATTTATAGAGCTGAATGTATCTCCATTTCTGAAGTGAATAATATTCAATCATTTTGTTCATTTGCTCAATAATAAGAATTTGATCCCCCCCACCCCGCCTCCAAAATAAGAATTTATAATTGATAAATGAATTACAGATCATGAACTATGCAATAAGGGTGTATTATTGAGACAGTAAAATCCTAGAAATTCATTGGAAATGACTTATTTCTACCAGATACTTTTAATAAAATACTTGGACCTTGAACCCACTCGTGTCTCTCAAACCAAATCCTGCTGCAATTGAACATTCACATCATTTGCCTTGAAAATTCCACATATCTTTGACAACAAAATCACCCATATATTGAAGTCTTCTATTATTAACGAATATATCAAAATTCAACCCCCACAATTGTACTAATAATCTATGTTGCACGAAACTTCTAAAATGCAGCATTTTGCTTCCTGTCCAGGTTTCGGAAACCAAAGCTCTTCTAAAACTCAAGGAAATATTTTCGAAACTCAAAAAATTAACTTACCCTTGCAACCTAGCCAATTAATAATCTAAGGCATAACTAAAAACTCTCACCAGTAAAAAATCTAACCTGCAAATCAGCTGAAACTTCAACATCACTGATGGTAGTAAGTGAGGACAGATATCTATCCGCGCCCAAAGCAGCTTCGGGCAAAACCGCATATTGCAAAACCTTATCAGTGAGTAACATATCAGATAGCTCTCTCCTAATTTGCTTCGCCACCATCTTCACTCTCCTAGGGTTCGCCATACATTTGATTATAGTGTTCCGGCCATGGCAAGTGCTGGGGGCAATAATCCGGTGTGGCGAGTGCAGGAAGGGCATAAACGCAACTGGGTAAATCCATCGTGTGGATCTTCTAGAGGCTGAAATTGAACATGATGTTGTGAAGATTGGATTGTGGATTAAAAGGTGCGACATTACAGAAACCTTACAAGAAAGAGTGGGAATTTTGCGCTGAGGGAGGGAACTAGTCGTATTTATCCGTTTAGTTGAATGGGTGTATTTTTGGAAATTCAGAAATTGTCCTTGATTTGAGTTTAAGAGAAAATTAAGATTTAATTTACAGTAAATTAATAAGGATTAGGTATATGAGTTGTTTGACAAAGTTTATGATAAAAGTTTTAGTAGATTTGTATAAAAATTGATGAATTTTATAGTTGAAAAGTTGATAAAAATTATGGATTTTATAAAATGTACGGTTAAAATAAACTGTTGTTGAAAAGTTGACTGAACATGTCTAATACAGGGCTATCAAATTTGTCAAATGTACGGAGTATCTTAGCCGAGGCGATGCTTGTGGAAGATGCCCTTCAAAGAATATGCCAAACGCTTTGAAAATGCCCTGCAACAAGATGTGACATCTCGCCTCGAAAGTAATCTCTTTGTACGAGGCATTCAAAGAATTCACCTATCACCTCAAAGGGCACATGTGAAGGGTGAGGTGAAATGGAGTGCAAATTTTACGTGATCTTGCTTTACTTTTTACTTACCCGACTATTACGTGGCAAGTCTTGTAGGCCAAGGAATAATAGATATTAGTTGACTTCGAAATTTGATGGGATGACATTGTCTAGAGATCCCAACTCCATTCCTTTATGCATGTTACCTTTGGTAGTCGGGAAGTGTGAGTATTTATACCAAGAGAGAAGAGGTAGAGTCCTTTGAATGCTTAATACGTGGCATCATCCTGGTGATCAACTGATCAAGTTCAACTATGTCATCCCTAATTGTCATAGGCCTGTGACTATCTAATCAGAAGCTGAAAAGTAGCCAAACTGAATTGTTAATTGAGCGAATTTAATACAAATCTATCAAATTTGTTAGATGTAAGGAGTATTTTGGCCAAGGCAATGCCTGTGGAAGATGCCAATTGCCTTGAAATTGCAGCAGAAGATAATGCCTCGCCTTGAAAGTAATCAATCAGACGTGGGGTCTATTTCCACTCAATCACACAAGTTTTTATTTTCAAATTTCGATAATATCTATCACAATCAATAACTCTAAAGATTTTATCGATTAAAGTTTAGGGATTCTTTATTAAAAGGCATGGTCAAACAATGTATTTGGATAAAGAGCGTTTTTTCAAAGTTCATTGGTAAAATAGCCTCTATTAAAAAATACAATAAATATATGATAAAAGTTTTAGTAGATTTGCATAAAAATTGATGAATTTTATAGTTGAAAAGTTGATAAATATTATGGATTTTATAAAATGTACGGTTAAAATAAACTATTGATTGAACATGTCTAATACATGGCTATCAAATTTGTCAAATGTACGGAGTATCTTAGCCGAGGCGATGCTTGTGGAAGATGCCCTTCAAAGAATATGCCAAACGCTTCGAAAATGCCCTACAACAAGAGGTGACATCTCGCCTCGAAAGTAATCCCTTTGTACGAGGCGTTCAAAGAATTCACCTATCACCTCAAAGGGCACATGTGAAGGGTGAGGTGAAATGGAGTGCAAATTTTACGTGATCTTGCTTGTCTTTTTACTTACCTGACTATTACGTGGCAAGTCTCGTAGGCCAAGGAATAATAGATATTAGTTGACTTCGAAATTTGATGGGATGACATTGTCTAGAGATCCCAACTCCATTCCCTTATACATGTTACCTTTGGTAGTCGGGAAGTGTGAGTATTTATACCAAGAGAGAAGAGCTAGCGTCCTTTGAATGCTTAATACGTGGCATCATCCTAGTGATCAACCGATCAAGTTCAACTATTGCATCCCTAATTGTCATAGGCCTGTGACTATCTGATCAGAAGCTGAAAAGTAGCCAAACGGAATTGTTAATTGAGCGAATTTAATACAACTCTATCAAATTTGTTAGATGTAAGGAGTATCTTGGCCAAGGCAATGCCTGTGGAAGATGCCAATTGCCTTGAAATTGCAGCAGAAGATAATGCCTCACCTTGAAAGTAATCACTTCAGACGTGGGGTCTATTTCCACTCAATCATACAAATTTTTATTTTCAGACTTTGATAATACCTATCACAATCAATAACTCTAAAGATTTTATCGATTAAAGTTTATAAGAGGAATTAGGCATGGATGTCCACTGGATAGGTACGCGTATTTCAATATTAATCACCAATTATACTTCAAATATTTCATAAATTAAACTTTTTGGCTCCACATAATTATTAGAACCAAACTCGAACCGTCGATTCTGGTTCAGAAGGTTTTACCTAGAACATTTAAAAAAAAAAAAAATTGCAAGCTGACAATACAAATTGTCTTAACAAAATATAAAAATAAAATATGTCAACAAATACACATTTCAATACTGTCTTAATCTACCATAAATAAACCACCAAACAACATCTAATATCTTCCGTGATAATATACAATATCTAATAAAATATGCCACCAAATTACATACCCAACGAAATAAACCAAAAACTAGAATCCAAAACAAAAAAAAATACAAGATTCTACATATGCTAAAAATAACATAAATACCTGAAAATAGCATAACAATCAACATTGTCAACTTTTCTTTAAATCCCATTGGTTCTTTTGCATCCAATCGGGTCATTGAGTCAGAGTAAATAATAAAAAATAAATAAAAATGATAAATTCAGTTCTAAAATCGGGTATCCACAGTTGCATTGCAGTTAAAGAACCAAAAACCATCTAAAACCTAGTCGATTCTCGATCTTGATTCTTAATTTTTTCAAGAACATTCGATTCGATTGGGGAGATTCGATTCCTATTAAAATGCCCACTTCTAAAATGAATTTCATTGCTAACAACGAAGGCTTATCCAATCAGATACCATCTATATTTGACAAAAAGCGAAAATATTTTTGAAAGTTACGAGTTCGACCCTAAAATCACTTAGAGATGAGTTAAATAGGTGAATAACGCAGAATTTACAAATTAAAAGTAATGTCGCATTTTAATCATTTTAGATGTTTAGTCAATCAAGTCAATTTTATCATATGTTGAATTGTCACAACAGTAAATAAAGTAATAAATAACACAAGATTTGTTGACGGAGAAAACTCTTAACTGAGTAAAAACTCAGGGACCAAGCCAATTAACTTCTCATTAGACAATAAGAACTTACAGTATAATCCAGCCTAGAAAGCACACTAGATTCGCTGATCTAATTTCTGCAATCTCCAAGACCCATTGGAACGCACTTCACTCAAACCTGCTCTCGATCTTCTGGAATTGTCTATTTCTCGTGGATCACCAAGAATACCTTATTTTTGTACTATTCCCGTGCTTCTAGTCCAACCCCCTCAATCTTCAGCAACATCTAAAAATTATTGAGAAATTACTTTCATAATTATATTTAGGAAGTGGGTGTTTTGGATTATTTGAATTTGATGTTTTTCCCAATTTGCAATTGATTGATCTCAATCAAATGTTTAATCTCAATGTTTGGATACTTCTTCGATCTTGGAATGATGTTATAAGGATGTATTATAATGATCAACCACCCACAAAAACATAATAGGCATTGAGTATTTATAATAAGAAGTATTAAGGTAGTATAGAATATATAGAACTCTTAAAAACGCGAACTAGGCTTTCTAGAAAAACATAGTCGCTCGAGCGCCAGGTGAGTGACAGGTGTGTTGCTCGAGTGATAGGCGAACGACAATGTTTATGTTTTGGGCCCTCAAGCATCAGCTCGACGGCAGGCTAGCCTAAATTTGACGACTCTTTCACATGTTTCATACTTGAAATCAAAGACTCTTAATTCATGTATACAACACCCCCCAAAGACTCCTTAACTTTTACAATTCTTTTATAATAATCATGTTATCTAAAGTATTGCTAATACAACTTAAAATCTAACAATATTCCAATTTGGCATTATGAGACAAAACTATACAATATAAGTCAAGGAAGTAAAAAAAAAAAACTAATATACCCAAACTCAAACTGAATGTATGTCTCTTGCATTCTTTATTAAACATGTTTCCTGAAATCAACAACTCAAAAACCAAATATAAAAGTATGTGAAACAAGAAATATAACAATTGAAACACATTAGCACAAATTTGCCAGCTAGATTGAGAAGTAATACTAATGTTAATTATAACACCAATTGAAATATTAATATTACAAAACATCAAAATTTAAAAAAGTTAAGCATTAAATAAAGCAAAACTCTCAATAGCATTGTTGACCTCAGAAAGCGAACTCAACAGATGTCGGGTCCACTCATGCATGCGTAAGCCATATCCGGCGCGTTAAGGTAGATCTATGGTCGAGATCGCTCCAAAGATTGGACGTGAGAGAAGCTCAACGACACGAGACGTTTTCGTTCGGGCTCCGACAGGGTTTACAGAACAAGATTATATAATGATCAATTGATAAGAGCAAGATTTGTAGTTGTAATAAACTGATAACAGAATAAGATAGGTTGCTTTGAGTATTAAAGTTTCATTAGCCTACAATTGTTACATGGTGAGGGTAGTGGTGTCAACCGAGCCGAGCGGCTCGTCGACTCGGCCGCTCCGCTCGTACTGTTTACGCCCACGAGCCGATCAGGCTCGTCAAGCCGCTCGTGAATAGTGACAAGCTCGTGGGCTCGTATATTATAAAATTTTTTTCTAGTTTTCTTCTCCTATAAATATCCAACCCCATTACAACAATTTTTTTTTCCACCAAACTTTCATTCTCTACTCTCTACAATTTACAAATCATTATCAACAATATCATTCATTTATTCTATAATTCTCTTCTACATTTTTTACATTATTATCTTAATTTTACAACCCATTTTTTACACTAGTATGTAATTTTATTCACTTCTCAATTCTACATTTCTACATTCTACTTCAACATTCAATTTCT